TATAGGGATGGAAGGATCTTCAAGGGTAAGAGGGTGATATGAATTTTATTTCTCATACATGGCACAGAAAGCCCATGATTATCACAAGGCCAGTGTCCTATAATAGTCATACAGGATAACTGCTGCTGTCAAATTTCAGCCTCAAGTTGGCTAAGTCAAATGAAACTATTTTGTCTATGTTACCCATTGTTATTTACCAGCCAAGCCTCTACAGGTCTCTTATTCTAAAAAGCAAAAGATAGAGTCTTATAACCAAGAATACCACACACAGCAAAACTGAGTATAATCTTGCAGGAAAAAATGGCCCTTTAGTGAAAGAAGCTTCCCCGTACTCCTGATGAAAAGACAAGAGCTGAGCAGAAATTTTTGAAATAGAAATGCAGGATTCAAGAGAAATATAAAGAGGGAAATACCATTGAGCAATAGGAAGCGATTATACAAGGGTGAAGTGTTTATATTCTAATGGGGGAAAAGACAAGTATCCTTTTAGAATTCTATCATCATCTGGGACAACAGAAAGTACTGAATAAGACTGAAGCCCTAGGAGTGATTTTATTATGTTTAATGATCTTAAAAGAAGGGGAAAAATAGGGAGAAGGAAAAGGAATACAGGAGGGAAAAAATTGGGAAGAAGGTAAAGAGAAAATTACTATGTTACATAATCAAGGTACCCCAGGAAAAAAACAAAACAAAACACTACGCAAACATGCAGGAAGGGGTGAGAGGTGCAAGTATACCTTGAACATCACTTTCATCTAACCAGGTCAGAGGAGGGAAGAAAACACACACACACACACCCCACATACGTGGTAGTGTGGAAATACATCCAACTCAAAAGAAACACAGAAAGAAAATGGAAAAAAGCATATTTCTCAGCAGTAAGTGGCATCTTTACTAAAAATGAGATAGCATATTAAGTCATAAAACCTCAAAAATTCAGAAATGTAGAAATACTAAATACATTCTTTACTGACCAAAATGAAATTGAAATCACTCCATGAAAAGGCCACAGAAGAAAGGATTAAAAATGAATTATCGATCAATATCCCCATTGAATAGAAAGAGAATTTTTAAACAAAATATTAGCATAGTGGTTACAACAATGAAACAAAAAGATTAAATATTATGATTAGGTAGAATTTATATCAGAAAAAGCTTGACAAAAGGCAATGCTCATTTCCATTAAAAACACCCACAAGCGTAAGAATAAATGGCCCTTTTCTTAACACGGTAAATAGTATCTATTTAAAATCAAGAGCCAGTATTATATGTAATAAGGATAAGGCAGAGGCCTCTCCAATAATATCAATGGTGACACAAAGATATCCATTATCACCGCTATTATTTGATATAGGGTCAGAAATGTCAGCTATAGTAATAAGAAAAAAAGAAACTGAGGATAGTCAAAAGAAAAGAAAAAATTAAATTCTTATTTTTTTGCATATGACATCATGGTTTACTTAGAGAATGCTAGATTCAATTAAAATAAATTAAAACAATAACTTAAGCAAAGTAACAGGATGTAAAATGAACCCACACAAATCATCAGCTTTAATTTTTATTTCAAATAAAGCTAAGGAAGAGATAAAAAGAGAAATCCCATTCACTATAACTACAGAATGTATAAAATATTTGGGAGACAAAATACCAAGGCACACATAAAATCTGAACCTCCACACAGAAGCTATATGAATATAACTACTAAATAATCTTTATAGAAATAAAGATATGCTAGAATAATGGAAGAAAAATGAATTGTTCTTGGTAGGCTGAACTGATACAATAAAAATCATAATATTATATAAGTTAATATATTTATTCAGTGTCATAAAAACCTACCATCAGATAATATCATAGGACTAGAAAAAATAGTAACAAAATTCATCTGAAGAAACAAAAGATCTCTTGAGATTCTTATCTCAAGGGAAATAGTGAAAAAAAGTAGAAAGGAAAGAGGCTTAAAAGTATCAAATCTAAAACTATACTATATGGCAGTGCTCAACAAAGCTATTTGGTCCTAGATTAAATAAATAGATAGACAGATACATAAATAAATAAATAGGTCAGATCAATGAAAGAAACTAGGTACATAACATACCAAAGCAAAAAGAAATGGTAGCATAATGTTTAATAAACTCAAAGATACTAATTTCTGAGGCAAGAATCCACTAGCAATAAGAAATGCTGGGAAAGCTCTAGTTTGGCAGAAATTGGGTTTAGACTAACATCTCACACCATATATGAAGATGAGTTCCAAATGGATAACTTAGACATAAAAGGTCAAACAAATCAGAGGAGGAAGGAAGCAAATATCTATTATAAGAGGAAGAGTACATGACCAAATTACAAAGATGATCAAAGATGACAAAAAAACAATTTTGATTATATGCGATTTAAAAGTTACTACAAAGACAAAATTAATACAATTAAAATTAGAAAAGAAGCAGGTAACTGGAAAAAAAATCACTGCAGCAAGTTTTTCTGATAGTTCTCATATCCAAGATACATAAGGAAATGATTAAATATCATAAGAATAAGAGCCATTCTCCAATAGATAAATGGTCAAAGGATGTAATAAGGAAGGAAGGAAGTAGGGGAAGAGAGAAGAGACCTAAGCTATTGACAACCATAACAAAAAAAAATGTTCGAAATTGTTCATAATTTGAGCAATACAAATTAAAGTGATTTTGAGGTTCTACCTCACACTCATCAGATTAGCAAACAAGATAAAAAGAGAAATGACAATTTCTGTACTAAGGTTCTACTGGAATAGCTATGAATTGGTCCAAGCATTTTAGAAAGCAATTTGGACTGTACCCCCAAAAGCAACTAAATCATATATACATACCTATACATATACATATACATATACATATATGTATATATATACACACACTCTGACCCAAAAAGATCATTATTAGGCCTAAAGAAGAAAAGGATTTACATATATGAAAATATTTATAGTAGATCTTTTTTTTTAATTACTCCCATTCAATGCTTTTTATTTTTTTTGTTTTAGACAACTGGGGTTAAGTGACTTGCCCAGGGTCACACAGCTAGTAAGTGTCAAGTGTTTGGTCTGAGGCCGGATTTGAACTCAGGTCCTCCTGACTTCAGGGCCGATGCTCTATCCACTGTGCCACCTAGATGCCCCTATAGTAGATCTTTTTATAGTAACAGGAAACCAAAAATTAAGAAGGTGCTCATCAACTAGAGAATGGTTAAACAAATTATGATATATGAACATAATGGAATATTGCTGCACTATAAGAAATAACATCCCAAGATTCAGAGAAACTTGAGAAGACTTATTATATGAATTGATGCTGACTAAAACTAGCAGAACTTGATTATGATTTATATGATAACAAAAACATTGTATTCCAAAAGACACATGATAAAACATGCTATCCAACCTGCAGATAGGGAATTGATAGCCTGAGAGTATACAATGAAGCATGTTTTTTTTTCTCTTTATCTCATTTTTTTGCCTTTTTTTTTAAAAAAAGAACATGGCTAATGTAGACATTTGTTTTGTGTGACTCTACATATTTGTAATTTGTTTATTTTTCTTGCCTTCTCAATAGGTGGGGTTGAGATTTTGGAACTGAAAATAAAATTGAATTTTTTAAAAAATTGTTAAGGCACACATCTTTGAAAGATTTATAAATTCTAACTCATCTCCTGACAGAGAGGGGAAGAACTCAAGGTGTAGTATAGAACACACTTTTTCAGCTGTAATCAGTGGGTAGAGCTGTTCTGCTTGATTATGCTTATCCGATACAAAGGTTTTATTTTTATTTCTTGTGTTGGTAGTAAGAGCAACAGTGGCTAGTAATAGGATTACCAAAATAGGACAGAAAAAAAGCCACTGAAGCATTTTTTAAAATGCATGGAGAAGAAAAGAACAAAAGTCAGCAGGAAAGACAAACATGCAATGTGGGACAGTTTGGGAAATAACATATTTATTATTTATTATATGCTTAAAGAGAAAAAAGTCAGGCTGTTCATAAAACACAGCTATAGGTACACATACAGTTCTCTTTTTCTGTTCTATTTTGCATATGAAATTGCTTATTTTATTTGGTCTCGTTTAAGTTCATTAGAAAAAAAAATCAAAAGAAAAAAATTTCCTTTTTTCCTACACATAACTACACTTAGATATTGGGGAAAAACTGGAAAATAGGTACACAAATATATTGTTGGTGAGGACCTGCAGTTGGTCCAGCTGTGAACTGCCATTGTTACAAAGGATTCCATATAGAAGACGGGAGAGTTTCTCCCCCATCTCCCCCAAAATGAGGGCTATAAAGACAAAAGTCATCAATTTTAAGAAGGAATAAAATTACTAACCTCATGATGTGATAAGTATAACAACTTAAACCACAGCTTTGGTTTTAAATATAACCATTCAGGTTATAAGCAATAACCATTCTCCAATATTTAGATTTAAAATATATATTTACTACACGAAAATAAGGATGATGGGATTTTTTAAAAAAAAATATTAAACTGAGCAGTTTAATTGGTTGTTTGTCTATGCTTCTGCAGATCAGAACTGCAGCCAATCACATGAATATACCAATTCTTAATTCTTAATCAATTCTTATATCAATTCTTAACTTAGGAATCCCAAGTAAAAATTTCCTTTTCAAATTGAAGATTTGTAAACAGCTAAAGAATGTACTCAATTGTTACAGATATGTTTGAAGTAATAATCTAAGTATTCTGCCATCAGCAAAACACACTTTCTGAGATTAATTTCCAGAAATTAACCAAACAACATTTACTGAGAACTGCCAGTTTGAGACATTTAATAAACTAGAATATTCAAGCCCTCAAGATATTTATACTCCAGTTGACCAGAAGAAACCCCAAGGCTTTCAAAAAAGCAATGTTCTTTGTTTAAGTTTAAATGTTTTCATCTTTATACTTAATGAGACTAAAATCATAACCTTTTTCCTGAAATATCCCATAAAAAGTGAAAAACAAAAAGTTACCTAAATTGGATATTCACCAAATGAGGCTGTGAACCATCTGATTGCCAATAAGTTTCCAGATTATCATCTCGTAACTGATCCACTCCAAATCCTAATAAAGAAGACAACAATAGGACTATAATCTCAAAATGTAAATTTCCAAAAGAGAATCAGAAATATGATAGTCAATTGGATACCAATACAGTAAAATTTAGACTAAACAGAAGCCTCACATATCTAAAATTCCCTCCAATATCTCCCAGTACTCTACTTGAAGAAACAGACATATATATAAGAGAAAAATAAGTCTATAAAGAATTTAGAAAACAAGTCTCCCAAAATTACCATTGTCAACACTACCAAAGAAAAGCTCACACACCCTAACATTCAGTCCAAACTGAGGCTAGCCTGATAATGGACAGAGAGCAGTGGATTGTCAACTAGGAAGCCTAGGTCCTAGCCACAGTTATGCTACGAGATGGCTGTGACGCTGGACAACATATTTAACTTCATTAAGCATCAGTGTCTCAACTATAAAATAAAAGCATTAAACACTTAAGGCGTCTTCCAGCTCCAGAATTCTGTGGTTCTCAAAATCATAGTACTATGCAATAATAATTGGCACCAATAATGATGACAACAAGCTCCATCAAGATCCTTAATTAGGAGCAGCTAGGTGGCGCAGTAGATAGAGCACTGGCTCTAGAGTCAGGATGACCCAAGTTCAAATCCAGCCTTAGACACTTGATAGTTACTAGCTGTGTGACTCTGGGTAGGTCACTTAACTCCAATTAAGGATCATTTTTTTTTTTTTGTGAGACAAAAGATCCTTAATTAAAGACAACCAATTTTGCTCAATATACAAGTAATCATTCATTTTAGAAAGAGTTTCAAAAATACAAGGAAAATTCCAAAATGTAGCTTCTACTTATTCAGAAAATTGAATTGACTAGAATCCCACATTTTTCTAAGTATTCCAGTTTAGCAAAATTTTATAATTACTATATTGTAACATGGAGTAAAACTGTATCAATTGCTCTTTTTTTTTTGTTTCTTCTTTCTAATGGTTCCTCCCATTGATTCTAATTCCTCTTTATAACATAATGTGAAAATGTTTACTATAAATGTATATGTACAGACTATATCAGATTGTATGCTGTATGCTGGAGGGAGGGGAGAGAAGGGGAGAAAATTTGGAGCTCAAAGTCTTAAGGAAGTGAATGTTGAAAACTAAAAATAAATATTTTTTAAAACAATTACTATGAATCATAAACTATTCTGAATTATTTTTAAAATTATAAAAACTTTTGTAAAAGAAATCCAGTTCCTGAAGAATAGGGAAAAACTGATGCTCAAAAGCTACCAATGGCAGATAAGTTTCCTATAATGTTAATTGTATTGATATCACTGAACATAATATTAGTTTACAAAGCACACCTATGATCTTTCTAACTTCCCAGTTAGAAAGCATTAATAAACCCCTAAGGAATATTCCTCAATAGTTCTTACAGCTTCTGAATATTTGTTCTATTTCTCACTCAAGATAAACTGGCCTATTTGCTATTCCTTGAATACAACGTTGCCAGATTGTCCCACAAGCCTCAGATGTAACCTCTCAACTCTCTTCACCTCTGCATCTTAGAATCCCTATGACCCTTCATGGTTTAACTAGAGTACCATATCCTGACCAAGGCCTCTCCTGACCCTCCTAGTTGTTAGGATTCTCTCTATTCCTCACATACACTTAATAAATATCCATTAAATGAATCAGCCCAGGGATGGGGAACCTGCAGTCTCAAGACCACACGTGGTCCCCTAGGTCCTTAAGTGCAGCCCTTTGACTGAATCCAAACTTCACAGAATAAATCCCCTTAATGAAAGGATTTGTTCTGCAAAACTTGGACTCAGTCAAAAGGCCATTCCCAAGGACCTAGAAGGCCATATCCACCCCTGAATTAACCTATCAATTCAAATAATTATTTCTAATATGTATCAGTACCAAAGTTCTCTGAATAAATTTAAATATTCAGCATACTTATTTCATTTGCATAACTAATTTGATTAGTCAATTGTCTTCAGTGATAGCATATTAAGTTTCAGTATACGTATCATCCATAATATTCTAAATTCCAAACTAATTTGGAGTCCATTAAAGAAATTTTACTGTTTCTTCATGTTAAAAGATATGATCTATTTGACATACTACAATATTAAGTTTCTAGCTGTTCATCAAAATACAATTATTTACCTCACTCAAATACTCAAATGGATCAGTGATCTTATTAATTTGGATATTCTCTTCAAGGATGTAGACTGTAACAAATCCACGTATGCCTATTTTGTGCAATTTTTGTCTGTGTCTTCCCCAAAATTTTCCATAAGTAATCCAATTCATATACTGGAGGCTATCCTCCCTTTTTCCTGCCTTTAAACTCTACCATCCTGTCATCCGATGCCCTATGATCAAGCCCATCTTTTTTTATTATTTTGTCTTATTTTGTCATTTTGCTAATGACATCTTTTACTCCTATTATTCTTTGAAGTTCCTCAGTTGGTTACATGTTGCAGCCTGATGGCATCCACCACTCATCTCTCAATTACTTTCTGTGTAATATTCATTTTGAATTTTTCAGAGACTGCTCTACTCCATGTCGCTCTCATTGCCACACAGTAACACTAACAGAACGTTGCCAATAAAAAGATGGTTCTTTGTTTCTGGAAACTTGGAAGAAGTAAAGAAATTGTACAATTTCTCCAAAAGTAAGCAAGTCCACTTTCCTTTTTAACTTGGGGCCCAACTCATTGTAGATTTGTATTGTTTGTTCCAGATATCCACTCAAAAGCATGTCATAATCTGAGCAATATACAATCTTCATCCGTTTCAGTGACTCTAGATGTCTTCCAGGTGGCTCTGGAATTTTCCAACGCATTATACAGTCATCAAACAGGGTCATCTAGTGGATCTCACTATCCACAGGAAATCCCAAACAAGCTGGACTCTGAACTAGATCTCTTCCATCACTGTAGCAAACAGCTTTGCCAATCATGTATCTCCCTATTTTATGCTCTGCCTGATGTTGAAGGATCAGAAGAATTGAACAGAATTATTTTGGTTAACATATCTTTCAAAGAAACTTAAATGATTTTGATGTATGGATAGGAGACATTTTGTTGGAAGGGCAATCCCATGGGAGCATTTTGTTCTACCGAATTTGTTTCATAGCAACCCACAAGACAAAGCAATTATTTTAACTAAAAGTAAATCAAGGCAAAGTCTCCTGATTCTTTGCAGAGGTGGAAGACTACGGGAGCAAAATATTGCATATAATGCCACACATTTTTTTCCCTTTTTGGGGGGGCAATTGGGGTTAAGTGACTTGACCAGGGTCACACAGCTAGTAAGTGTCAAGTGTTTGGTCTGAGGCTGCATTTGAACTTGGGTCCTCCTGACTTCAGGGCCGGTGCTCTATCCACTGCGCCACCTAGCTGCCCCTATGGAGAATTTCTTTTCTTTCTTTTTTTTGGGGAGGGCTTGGCAATGGGGTTAAGTGACTTTCCCAAGGTCACACAACTAGTAAGTGTTAAGTGTCTGAGGCCAAATTTGAACTCAGGTCCTCTTGACTCCAAGGCAGGAGCTTTATCCATTGCACCATCTAGCTGCCCCTTACGTCACACATTTTTAATATGTTGGTTAGTTTTGCCATATTTTTTTTCTTTCTTATAAGGGATGGTTCTTTGAGAGGGGAAGAGAGATAACCTTGGAAATCTGGATGATATGTCAACAATCTCAACAAAAAATTTACTTTAAAAATATCAGTTCAATTGTTTCATAAATTTAAAGCTGGTTACAGGATCAGAGCTCTGGAGCTGGAAGGGACCTCAGAGAGAATCTAGTCCAATCTTCTTACTTTAAAGATGTGGAAACTAAAGCCAAGGAAATGAAATGAAATTCTCAATATGACTGTAGAAGTAATTATAAAAAGTGAAATCTGAACCCAGGTCCTCCGCTTCCAGAAAGAGTTGTCCTTTCACTGTACCTGACTCTCAATTATGTATTCAGAAGTCTAACTTGACATCAACAGAGTGTAAAAACGTAAATATGTATCCACCAATATCAGGTCCATCAAGCCACATAAAAAATAAAAAATGAATTTTTAAATGGTAGGAAATATCACCTTCAGGAAAATTATTCTAGCCAAAGCTAAAGACAGGGTTGTATTTCATAATCATTATAATTTTTCTAGTGAACAGCAGAAAAGCTGGTAACATTAAATTTAATGAACACCTATTATTATGATCCAGGGATTACAACAGTAACTAAAGAAACACAAATACTCAAAGATTCAATTGGATCTGTGATCTCAATAAGGATATTCCCCTACAACCAAGCAGATATCAATATCTACATCTATCTATATCTATATCTATCTATAACTATGTATCTATAGCTATCTATGTCTGCCTATCCCATGTGATTTTTATTCATGTCCTCCTATAAGTTCATTATAAGGGGGTTAACCAAAAGTGCTGAGGGCCTTTTTCACTTTCTCTTGCTTTCACAAGGATATCAGCGGAACACACATGCTTGTCTAGTAGTTATCTCTTAGCTCTTACAATGGGAACCACATTAAATGCTTTCTGAAGTATGTGTCTCTCTGACAATATTCTTTACTACAGTTTTTTACAATTGTGTTGTATCCACTTATACCTAGCATGTTCCTATTCATTTTTATTTCTTGAGACTATAGTGCCCCACAACTGGAAGCTATTTTTGTTTTTTGTTTCTTGAAAAAGACTAGAGACATTTAAGGGAGTTTTGTAATTCCCTGAAGTCAACCCAGCATATTCTTTTCCTATTTCACTCTGGGCTCCATTCACTGTCCATTTGTGCTGTCATGTCACACACACACACACACACACACACACACACACACTCCGATAGAACAAGCCTCTGGCAGAAATGCAGAACTGTAAAAATTGGATCAAAAGGTGCTAATAATCATATAATTTGTAAGATCCTTGTCCAATGACCAATGAACAGTAGAGAAAATGAATCATTAATCCTGACATTCTTTAAACAGAACCAGAAAAAGTAAAAAGTTGAGTTAAATGACAGGAGGGTTCACCAGTTCTCCACAGAGAAACAACTAAAGGAGTCAGTGGAGTTGGTTTTATTACATGCCCAAAGGCACAAGAAATAATCACCTCATGGAACATTTCGTCATAAATACTGAGAGCGCCTGAGAAGTATTTGCAAAATGACTACCATGAAAAAAATTGTAACTTATGCAAAGAACTCTGTTGCACAGGATAAAGAAATGCATTAACTCTATAAAGAACTCAATAAGAACTGCCAAATTAAATCAATATAGGCTTTATTTTCAGTGACATCAATGGAAAGGTAGGAATAGGTGAGGATGGTAAGAAAAAGGAAAACATGGATCAGTAATAAGGAACCTGAAAAACGAATGACCTGCAAAATACACAGAGGCCTCATGCCTACATTTAGTGAATATTTAATTCAATAAAAGAAACAAAAAGTACCAGACACAGTGAACACCAAATAACACCACAAAAAAAGAAATTAATCGTATTCTGACAGGAAACAAATCATTACTAATGGAGAATTATTCCTGAATTATCTTACTGTGGTATTAGACCACCAAGTTGTAAGAGCAATGATAAAAAGTAATATAAAGCTCATAAAATAAAATATGAAAAAGATAAGGAATGCAATTAAAATTCCAATCTGACCTGTTTAAACAAGCATTTAAAGTATAGGATATCGACTGAACAAAAGACATAAAGACTACAATAAATTAGCAGAGAAGCTCCATTATTTTCAATCAGTTGTCATTATAAGGACACCAAAAAGTTGAAAGAGTGACTTTGTCACAAAACACTCAACCAGCTTGTCAGAGAGAAATTGTAGCCTAAGGCAACAATGGTTTAGAAAACAACCTCATATGGAAAATCTTATGGAAAAGCATGATGGAAAATCATGAGCAGCTATCATCTCATAAAATAGGGAAGCACTGGAAGGTAAAACCAGTTTAAATAAAGTTGGTAGGAGATCCAATTAAACAAAGTCACACTGGAGATATTAAGGAAGAAATGGAAAGAGAATTATGAACAGAATTAATAAGATTTGTAAAGATATTTAAAACAAACTTTTTTTTTACTATCAAAGGCAGTAGAGACACCACAATTGGAGTATATCATCATAATCCCAGGAGTGCTTTATAGAAGCTGGAGAAATCGTGATAAAGAAAACAAAGTCAGGAAAAGCAGCTAGATAAGAACAAGTGCACACAGAGGAAATCTCTACTGGAGGAAACAATTATGAGGGGAGTGAGTCATTGAAAAATAAATGTTAAACATTATTTTTACATGTAATTAGGAAAATATAAAACATTAAATAATAAAAAGAATAAAGTCACAAAAAAATGGCAAGGGGACCTAGATTTCCTATAAGTTAAAAAACAGATCCTGATCTATTGTGGTAGAAGGAGTTTCCTCATTGGCAGATCCTGATATCAATGAAATTACAAGTTTGACCCAAAAAAATTTCTTAGTAACTAAAGATGATGGTAATTATATAATTCATTCTACTCAATCTTTTACTAACAGCAGAACCTAACATACAAAATAGGAGCACCATCCGTTGCATGTCACAGTTCAACATTATATGAAGCTAGATATTTGGCAAAGCAATAGTGAATCTAGCCTACCTTTTGCCTACTGCAAGATCTCCAAGTGATCATGTCATGATTTCTAAAAACAAAGCTGTTATCTTTTTCAGTACCTCCATAATAGCAAGGGATACAATACCCCTAGGTCTTTGGACACTTTTGTCTAATTCACCAATAATAATAACAGTTATACCAGTACAGTTAGGGTGGGAGGAACAAGAATAAGATCGACCTCCTTACATTCCTAAAGTAGCATAAACACAATGTAAATTTTATAGGAGGGTTTGATGCCATACTTATGTAAATCTATGATCTGAGTCTAGTAGATATTCTCTCCATTGATGTGTATCAAAACCTCTTGATACTTTTATAGTCTGTGCAATTGCCACTCATGTTATAAATTCCCCAAAAGTATCCAAATAACACAATGAAGACTTTCCTCTGTTGCAATATTCTGAGGGTAGCACCTTAGCTATCTATATAATGAATGTCATTCTCGTTGATGATATAAAAAGTTTTAAATTCAGTATAGAAAGAAAAGAAAGCATAACTGCTGCAGAACAAAGTATTATCTTTACCTGGCTTACAGGATGAGAGTGACCAAACAGCCTGTGAACCTATTTCACGTACTGTCCCAGTCCTTTCCAACTGTTTAGGGTCAGCACCAGGTGGTGTCTTGTTTGGTGTGGTCATTTTTCACTATTCTAAAAAGAAAGAATATGGACAGATTACAAAGAGACCCAAATGCCTCTTCAGGTTTAATAAAGAAGAAAAAGTTAGAATCTTCAATTATATTTTCTCACTGTTAGTTTATAGGAAACTATAATAAATCATTTCTTAAATTCCTCATAACTAGAAATGCACCTATATCCTGGTAGCAAGGGAGGATAAGTCAGGAAACGAGTATAAAATCCTGGCTCTAGTTACTAAGCAGATGTACAGCTTTACTCACGTGATTTCATCTCCCCCAGTATCAGTCTACTTTTCTCTAGAATTAAGGACTCTAATGTATCATCTACATTAAATTTTCTAAAATTTCTATGATTCTCCCAGCCTGTTTCTTTACCTACAAAATAAAAGGGTTGGACTTGATGACTGTCTATCCTAGCTTTAAAAATGTATAAACATTTGATATTAACCCTCTATTTCTCAAATATAGTTAATAACATCTTACTGCAAGAGTAAAAAATACCTTGGAAATTCTATCTATGCATTTTGTAAACAATTGTTATAACTTGAGACTATATTCACAGAGCAGATGGAATATTAAAGAATATACATATTTCCTAGCATATTATGGTACTCTTACAAAAACTGATCATGTACTGGGGGAATATATGGATCATACAAAAAAAAACCAGATAAAAATAATAATGCATCTTTTATAGACCATAAAGTAATAAAACAATAATGAAGGAAATAAGAGCAAATGATACAGACCTAAGTACACTAAATTATGATATAATGAAATGTGTAGCTTGGAAAAGGAGGTAGTTCAGTCATATAAATTGAATGAGAATGAACAGATAACAACTTGAATGCTACTCTAATGAAATAGAAAAGAAGACCTCTCAAAACTCTCCTAACTAAGAATTTTATCTGACATATAAAATCTTTGCAGTATGTCCAGGAGCTAAAATACGTTATATGAATTAACAACAGAGAATGCTAATCCCCAATCCCTTCCTCCACACTCTGGCAGGGCTATACAACAAGATCTATTGGGCTTGTGCTCTCAAATTCTCTTGCTGCAGCTGTAGTCTCTGCCAACACACCCCCCTGCCCTTTTCCTCACCCCACTATTCTGTGGCAACTAACAATAGAATTTAACTTTGTATACACAAAAACATACAGACACTGGCTCTTAGGAGGACATGGAAGCACAGGAAAGACAAAGTGAAAAGTGGCGAAAAATGAAATGCTCAATATGGAAGGAGGCAGGGACAGTTCTAAGTATGGCCCTTGGGGGATCTGCCATAAGAAGGGAAAGGAATTAGAAAAAAAGTGATTTCCAGAAGAAAGAAAACGCAGTTTAAGCCCATGAGGAGAAGCAGACAAATAAACTGGGAAGATACTAACAACAGAAAGGAAGATGGCCTGCAGGGCACCTAAATCAGTCCAAAAATCTCTGAATATTGCAAAACAAAGTAACATTAAACAACTTCCGATAAGGAAGAGAGTTCTGTGGATTCTCAAGAGAGTAGAACTGGGGCAGTTACTTGGCGCAGTGGATAGAGCACCAGCCCTGGAATCAGGAGGACCAGAGTTCAAATCTAGCCTCAGACTCTTGACACTAGCTGTGTGACCCTGGGCAAGTCACTTAACCCCATCGCCTAGCCAAAAAAAAAAAAAATTTAAAAAAAAGAGAGAGAGACAGTATGGAATCACAACAGGATGTTCCTGAATGGTTCAAGAGAGAATTGAGAATTGTGAAAAGTATAACTTATGGCCTGTACAGAAGAAATAATCGGCAGAAAAGAAAAACTTGAATATACAGTGGCAAAAGTCTCCAAAGCAATAAAAGAGAAAATAAATGATTAGAAATACAAAGACAGAAGCTAAGGACAATCTGGAAAAAGAAAAGCAAAAATCACCAATGTTAAAAATAAAATATGATCTCTATACAGTACAAAAAAAAGATACTGATCTGGAAGACAACTACAGGATCATAGATCTAACAAAAAAATGTCAGCAAGTCAATAAATCTGAACACCATAATGTAAGAAATAATAAAAGGTAACTGTTCAGATCCCATAGAGTGTTATTTTAAAAGAATACACAGATCACTTCCAAAAAAGGGAGGGAAATATGCTGAAACCTCTAAGACAAAAGCAATCATAGCTCTTGAGGTTAACCAATAACCAAAAGAGTGAGAAGCATCGACATTGGAAGGAGATTTCATGACAAATGTGGGGAAAGGGATCATGGGAGTGAGGGGGAGACAGCAGGGCAAGGGTATGTATAATAATGAACTTTGTAATTATATATAAAGGAAATTTTCTACCACTGGGCAATACTTCTATCCCTGCTATCTCTTGCAGACACTTGAAAGAATTAAGAGTAACAGGAAAAAAGCAAGGAGGGGGAAAGATCTATAAGACAATAACATAGAAATTAGAGGAGGAAACTCAAAATAGATACATTAGAAATTTTAATTCCAGGAATTAAGTACTATCCAGGAAAACATCTACTAAAGAAGAAATAAACAAGCATGGGGATGATTAATCAGATAAAAAAAGTCTATAACAGAAAAGAGCATGAGAGAAAGAAATCCTTTTTAAAAAAGGGTACAGAAAAAAATGAAGGAAAAAAAGGCCTCCTAATAAACAAAAGTTGAAAAGGAAGGGGGATTTATTTAACTATTAACTGAGATGAAAAAAAGAGGGGAAGAATTACATAATTAGAAAAGTGAGAAAGAAAAAGAAACTTAAGTCAAGCAAAACTTAATTTATTAAAAGGGGTGGTGGGGTCAGTCAGTGATGGAAAGAGAGTCTGTGGAAATAGAGTTGCCTTAAAGTAGATTAAGAAACAAAGTATTCACAAAGAACAAGGGGAAATCCTAACTTAAAAAAAAAATTGAATCCTAACTCTCATCACTTTTTAAATAAAAATGGGTTTATAAATCCAGTAAAATGGAAAAAGTGACAGGTTGGATAAGAAAACAAAACCTTACAATCTATTATTTACAAGAAAAACACCTAAAAATTCAAGATGTACACAGATGAAAAATGAGTTGCTGGAACAAAATTTACTATATATATCAGGTGACTCAAAAAAAGAAGGAGTTATAATCAGGCTGTCGGTAAAAGCAAAAACAAAAAATTCAAAACATAAAAAGAGACAAAGCAACTACATTATGTTGAAAGGAACCACAGATAACAAAGCAATATCAAATCTATATGCTCCAAATGCTTTGGCATCTAAAGTCACAAAGGAAAAAAAAGAATTACAAGAAGATATTAAAAAAATAATAGTGACAAGAGATTTTAACATCCTCTGCTTTTTAATAAATCTTACAGAAAAATAAACAAAAAGGAAAATACAGAATTAAGTAAATCGCTGGAGAATCTACAGAGGGAAAAACGTACTTTTAATGAAATGGAGAACACTTCCCATCATTCCTAAAGACCAGAAGGGTATAGAAACTTTGAAACACAAACATAGGAGTCAAGAGAAACGTAAAAAGGAAACATGATGGAAGGACACATGTTCTTTCAGAATCCTATTATCATGGTTATCAAAGAAGTCTAATTACACAGAGAGGCTGGGCATGGTTTGTTTGACTTTTTTTTTCTTTTTTTTGGGGGGGGAGTGTAACTAACATGGGTTTTAGTGTGTGTAAGGAGGATTTTGTTATTACTTTTTAGACAATAGTTCCAGGATCTTAGATAATATTTCCCTCGAATTATAGTTGAAAACATCTCCACCACACTTGCACAGTAAGACATAGGGATGACATAAGTGACATATGCTTGTGCTGAATGATGATATTGCTAAAGTTAACCTGTGAGGCTATTACTGGCAACATACCTTCTTTGTCTGTTGCCCTATAAAGCAAGTGGGCACTGGTCAGTAAGTGGGGAACCCATTATGGGATTTGGGTAATGCACAAAGGAATGCATGTACCTACCTTGATGGGTCCCCATCAAGGCTTGGGGGTAAATCCGTACATTTGCCTCCATCAGTCCCCATTGAGGCTTTAGGGGACCAGTAGAAGTCGTAACTCCTACCACTCTTGGCCACCTCTGCGAGAAGTGTGAGTAGGGAATGCTGTAGGAGATAGTGCTCCCATTATCAGCAAATTCATTTTGAGAAGATTAGACTAGAATAAAGTAAGCTTTTTTAACCCCTCTGAAGCTGTCTTCCTGTCTGACTGGATCAAAAGGGAACCTGTGCTAGAATACCTGTTAGTGTTAGAAGCTCTCCTACCCAACAAATGGTGTTACCTGTGTGTTTACCTGTGAAACAGAGGGTTATGTTTTGATTATCTACCCTAAAAGAATAAAGGACAAGGAAGGGAAAAGGAATACTTTTGAGATGGCCAAAGAGAGAAAGGGTGGGGAAATTATCTCATATAATTAGAGTATAAAGGAAGGAAACTATACAAACATGGAGAAATGGGTGGAGAATACATATACACAAGTAGATGCTGAAATATATTTTACTAAATATGGAAACAGTAGGGAAAGACCAACTAGGTGGTGCAGTGGATAGAGCACTGGGCCTGGAGTCAAGAAGACCTGAGTTCAAATCCAGCCTCAGACACTTAATGTATGACCCTGGGCAAGTTACTTAACCCAGCTTGCCTCAGTTTCCTCATCTGTAAAATGAGCTGGAGAAGGAAATGTCAAACCACTTCAATACCTTGCCAAAAAAACCTCAAATAGTGTCACAAAGAGTCAGACACAACTAAAATGACTGAACAACAACAAAAATAGGGAAAGAGAAAGGAGAAAAGAAAATAAGAGAGTAGATTAAGAGAGGTAGTATTCATAAGCAAAATAAACCAACTGCAGAGGGTGGATTGGAACCTATCTAAAAGGAAAGAAAGGATAAGAACCTGTGATCCAGCTTTAGATGAGGGAAAGAGGATCAAAGAAGCAATAGCAGACTCCATCAAATATAGAGTACTGATGCGGAGCGCACTCCTCTTACCAACTTCTTTTTTTTTTTTCCCAACTCCTTTATAAAGAGCAGGTAGAGA